TTACATTAGTTTTAAGATTTTTAAACTCTTGAAATTTAGCAGAAAAAATCTGCACAATGCACCATCGAAAATTATTTTTTTTTTTTAAGTATCTAAAGTTGAAACATGACAATCCCAACGTAAATTTTGTGTTCTTAAATAAAAATTGGCAAAAATATGGATCAATTCAGTTGATTTAAAGGAGAAATTGGCAAAGTAATATCTGCAGTAAAACGTTTTACCGTTCTTCATATTCCTTGTTTTGATGTTTTTTTAGATGGATGTAGCTTCTTTATGGACAGTAACATAAATGACAGAGACTACCGTAAAACAATATATGGTCTAAATATTTTCTTTAAAGAGAAAGACGAAGCGATACCAACCGCTACTTGCCTTAAATAAAATATTTAAGAAGAACGTTATTATAATGGATAATGCTCTATAGTACTCTGTAACAGCAGAGAAATCGCCCACTAGCAGTAGTAAAAAATATGTCTTAGGAGTATATTTTTGGCTTAACAAAAAAAAATTCTTTGTTGATGAAGTTACAAAAAGAGAATTATGGTGTAAAATCAAGCCAATTCTATATCATTCAATTAAAAAGTATGAAGTAGATGAACTCGTGTAGGGTTACAGTATTTTGTAACTTCCGTCCTAGCACTGTTAATAAAACCCGACTGAGTTAATGTGGAAATATTATCCGTGTGGACAAACGTTATACAACACTGCGAAGAATTGATTAATCAAAACTGGAAAAAAATTAATAGGTATTTTTCCAATTAACGATATTTGCGCTTTCGTAATGAAGCTATAAGAATCTGACTTTGATTCGGATTATTATTTACGTGATTATCTCATATAATTTTAATAACAATAAAGTCATTACAATACGTAAGTATTAATACTGGAAACAAAAATTAGTCGAAGGTTATTTCGATAGACCTTCCCTTGCTCTTGCAGTGCAAGAAAATATATCCAGCTTTTTCGAAAAATTACAAAATTTGATTTCGCGAATTTAATTTTTTTATGAGAACGCCTATAAGTTAATATAAAAATATATGCATAATGTTAAAGTAAATGTAAAATACAAAATTTTGTGATAACGTCATCAACACTTTTGCAAAGACATTCATTCATTAATTTTTTTGATTTCGGGTGACCCTGTATAACCAATTCTAAAAAATATTAATCACAAGCATAGACGCATCATATTTTGCACACTTTAGATAGGATTAATTCAGCAAAATTTTGAGATTACGTCATTAATTTTTTAGGAGGGATGAATAAATACCTATATGTATTTTTAATAAAAATTATTTATATCCTGAAACGTCTGCAAGATTTTAATGCATTCGATTTTGCAATTTCAAACTTAAAATAGAAAATGTTGTTATACAATTTTGATTTTGTATCCAAAAATGTGGATGTCTCGAGTAAAAATTCAAAACGAATTCATAAACTACACGTGTAGGACCAAATAATTTTATATAATTTAAAACTATAAATGTGAGGTGACGTCATGACATTGTTAGTGAGGATAATTAGCCAAATTTTGGATAGCGTTTTACCATCTATTTGATTCATAATTCCTAATATGCGTACCTACATAAAAAAATTTACAACAATGGGTTTAGTAGTTTTGGATATTATCTGTCTAACAAAAGTCAACATAGACAGACAGATAGGCGGAAACGGTAGACCACTTTATTCTAGGTGTCAGGAAACGTCGAGAAAATATAAGAATGGTAAGTCACCTTGGACTCGAATACTATACATCCTTAAGGAAGTAAAAACGTCAAAATTACAATTTTCTAACTAAAAGCCTCTCTCAATCAACTGGAACCTCTTATACATTGCTAAATGGTGGTTGTGTCAATAGAAAATTATTTTTTTAAGTCACCCTGCACTAATACTTCTAAAAAAATAGGACTGTTTAAAAAAAACTACGTGTAAGAAGTGTGTTATTCAAAATATTTCAAAGAAAAGGGACTTTACAAATTTGCGAAATGATGACATCAAATCTTTATAAAGGGTGAGCACATAAATCCTGATGAACGATTTATCATATTTTAAAGATGGCCTCATTACAATCTTGTAGGAAGAACACAGAAATTTGACGCACTATTGTACGATCTACATAATATACTTAGAAAATATGTAAAATTTTACAAAAATCTCGCAAAAAAAACACGATTCCCACAACATTTGCACAGTTAAATAATGTTGTAAACTGTTCTTGTAAGAACCACGCTAATTGAAATTGTAAATTTCTCGTCTATGGTCAAAATAAAATATGAATCTTACCATAACAACCATGTTGGAAAATTGTTCTACGTTGTTACTAAAATAATTAGGTTCCACGTAACACTACTCTTGTCTAAAAGACTATTCTTAATTTGAATTCGTGCTTAATTATATTTACATTTACATGGAACATACAAATGTGTGATATTTATTCGAAAAACGAAAACGTTAAAGAAGCGATGAAAAAAGAAATTGGTTCATGAGACATAACAATGGGAGCAAAATTAAATAAAACACAATTAAATATGAAAGAAAAAGAATATTCGTCAACAATAACAACTAAGTACTACTTATTTGAAAAAATACGTTAGAATAAAAAAATAAGTCTCGGAAAGGCACGTCCAAAGAAAAATTGTGATATTTGTAGGCATATTGTTTTAATTTTACGCACGTTTGGTTACCACATTTCTCAAGTTTTTCCTTGAATTTATTGCTTAAATGTTAATATTATGAAATCGCCTTAAATGAATAACTTTAATTTAAAAAGTATATCTAAATGACATTTTTAAAATAATTCGTTGGCACACATATATCGGGCGGGCAACATAATTTGTAAGCGAGTCATCCTTGGAACTGAATACATGTCTTCTGTGAAATAATATGTTAATAATAATAAAATTTTTAATAAAATTACTTGCTGACACGTGAAACTTTTCTTATTTTCTTGCTTGTTGTTGCTTCCTGGAGAAATTATCTGCACAGTTGTTTTCAGAACTTTATTTGCGTATTTGCATATTCACTTAAAAATGGAATTTCCATTAAAGAAGAAAGTATTTATGATTATTGATGAATAATCATGTGATTAACTGGCTTATTAATTATTATTCAATACAAATCTCTTCAAAGTAACCGAACCGCTGTTATATCTTATCGAAAAATGTTGTTGTTGGCAGATTTTATACCACAACTTCACGTTGGCGACTGGAAAGTAGGTTATTTTTAGCAACACAGGGCTACAGCGCATTCGACTAGGACGACAACAGCAGGAATTAAAAAAAAATGAGATTGAAAATAACACAAGAAATTATCGAACAGCTTTTTTTTATTTTGTACATTTTGCCTGAGACGGCTTAAAAGTTAATAGAATAAAACACAAGATGATGTAAAATTGGGTCTGTCTAACGAATTGTTTCCTTAAAATTTCTGAATCTGTGTATAGAAAGCTTAAAAACTGTTAGTGGTAGTTGTTTTAAATTAAATGTCACTTAAATATTAAACACGAAGAGTCTTTAGTTTTACATCCAAAATCGCTGTAACGTGACATGCGAAAATAAGTAGCACCACTTTAAAACACTTTTGACAATTATTATAAAATGCTAGAAAGCTGTTGTTTTCTCTTGTACTTCGATATTTTTCTTATATATTTTATGGAAAGTTATAGTTTTGGTGTACTGTGTTTTGTATAGAGCCCGAATACAATTATTTGAAAATACATCAAAAATAGCAATACCAACACTTGAAGAAAGGTTGTTTTTTGTTTATTTATATATTATAAGATTTTTCATGAAAAAAAGACGTCAAGTTTATTTTAAGAAATTATAAACCTCTACAAACGTATAAACAAAAATTAACATAACATGGGTGCACAAAACGGTTTAGTTAGAATAACAGTCGTCACAATAAAATATCTATTTTTTTAAGAAATATAAATTACAATAACAGTCAACTATAAAATTCTTTAAAATTCGTAGAACCAATGAATCAACAGGTATTTTACATTATGTTGTTGTGTAGATATGTAGTTAAAACTCAATTAACGAATGACAGGTAATGTAAATAATATACATTTTTGTGTTTAATCGGTTTCATCAAGCTTCACTCTGTTCCACTTATAAAGAAAAATTTAAGAAATTTGGTGTTAAAGGACTTGTTAAATACGTTACTAGTTACATATATTTTCAATTTAAATTTTATACAAGCGTGTTTCCAAATTCTTGATTAAATAAAAAATGACCCTCTGCTTGTACGCATAAACATACTATCCTACATTTCAAAAATAACCTATTTCATTCAAAAATATTCAGTTTCTAAATACATAATTAAACCTATTTAATTCTGCTTTATTGCTTAAAAAAAACTGTGCAACCTTTAGAACGAAATGCTCTAAAAATTTCAAATCAAAATAATTAATTGTTCGATTTTATGTGTTTACTGTGTGGATAATTGCTTAATTGATCTGATCTGTTTTCAGACTGGTTAAATATAGTGTTTCTCAATAAATCCAAGAATAAATTTAAAGAATTTCTAGAATTAATCAAGACGTAAACGGTGACACTGTTTGGGTGACATATTCTAACAAATAGGTGACTTGACCTTCATTTACGAAAAGAAAGCAAAATTTTCACTGTCCGACCATGTACGATAATTAAATGTATTATTATAATTCTTCGCATTAACTGAACACAATTTCCACATTCCCATTCCGATAATCACACGAACAGCCTCCAAGCTCGACACCTGAGTGTCTCCTAATTATACCTCGTTTCTCACCGCAGAGGCCGTCAGATACATCTGAAAATATAAACAATGAAATTAGGAACACCCGTATCAAACTAGTTACAATCGATTTCAAGTGACGGCCTTATATGGGAGCAATAATAGTGGGGTACTTGTTGATTCGAAGAAGTCGAGAAATTCTCAGGTCGAAAATAATCAAAGATATAAGTAGAGTCACCTATCGTGAACGTTTTCAGTTGGCGGAGATCAACTCGTAACGACAACTTAGTCCGGTGAAAGTGTTCTCAGTCCATCGTGTACCGGAGGATTGGCCACAAAAGAATCCATTTACACATGCGCACATACTGAAAAGGACGCACTATAAATATATAACTTGCCAGTCTCCACTTCTTGGCTAGTGCTTGAACCTTCAGCATGGCTTCCAAAACTTTTTGGCTGTGTTGTTTATTACTTCTTGGGATAGGTAAGTTGTTTTTTATCTGTCACCCCCTCCACTCTAAAAAACCACTAGATCCCCCCACGCACTCGCCTCGGTAATAATTCACGACTTTTTTTTTATTTTCAAAATTCCCGGCGCAGTGGGCTTTCTTTTTTTCGTGTTAATTATGCATTCCTCTCTTGGTACATAAAGAACCTCAAAAGGTCATACCATCGTGGCATTTGAACCATAAAAACTGTTAATCAGGAAGTATCATAATTGCAAAAAACCGTTACATCAAACTTCTCTAATTCACTTTCCTTTTCTGACTGTCATTCATGTCAGTGATCCTTTTTTGTACTTGTTCATTAAGAATTGTTACCACATCGTTATGCTTATGACTAACATGCAACTGTAAAACCCACATGCAGTTAGGAAACTTGTTGAACGTTTAGCGTCGTTTCTGAGATATCTTTTTCGCGCGAAGTCAATTCCGATAGTGAAACTCTGAGCGAAGAAAGTTCTCTCCTAATTGGGTATTCAGGTTTCAAGTTTAACCTGTTTCTCCGTAAAACCTATCGCGACTTTAACCTTGACAATTAGATAATCATCTCTGCACGGTTTTTGCAACTTGTGTATCCTTTATGGTAATTTGGTCGATGTTTGACATTTGGAAGTAATGAAGCAGACAACAATGAAGAAACGTGAAAGACATTTACGATTCACCCGACAAATACCAAATATTTCACAATTCATCTGGCTTTTGACCTTCTTTGTTAAACCTCAACGAGACATTTACCATAAGATAAAACAGGCTTGGTAGTGATTCAGGCGGAGGTAAACTGCGAATTAGTACCGGTATGTGCACATTGCAAAACCAGATAAATTTTTTCTTTGTTGCGGTACTGATAGAATTGCTTAGTAGGCAGTTTTCCAATTGTTTCAATATTGTCAATTGATTGTTATATAAACAATTTAGCTTTTTATCGGCTGTAGAAACCTGTTCTACATCTTATTCAAACAGCTACTTTCAAGTGACCTGGATTTCTTTTCCCCCCTCGCAAAATATTTTTGTCGAAGCCTAATCGAACTAATTGACCAATGAAATCGATTTTGCAGCGTTTGCCCAGGATGATGACGGAGGAGAAGAAGCCACAGCCGAAGAGCTCTGCGACAACAGGCCAGCCGACGAGTACTTCAGACTGTCGACGGAAGGTGACTGTAGAGATGTAGTCAGGTATGATGTCTGAACGTAGCGCATCAGGTGCTTTCCTTTTTGGCATTATGCAATTCGGTTTTATCCCACAATTATCAAAATCTAGGAAACCAATTGCTGATTCTTGAAATTTGCAGTCCATCACAGTAGCTTGTTTTCAAGTACGCTTCTGGCCGGCATTCCATAAAAACAACAGATTGCACGTGTCTTTGACATACAATTGAAATGAATGTGGATGTCCTAAATGCATGCAACAGATTAAATAAAAAAATTGAAACCGCAGGCAAAACTGCTGTGACCAGAAGCCAGAATTTTAATTTTATTTTAATAGCATCCGTATTTTTGTTGTGCGTATTTTAAACCAGTTCAAAGACTAAAATCATACATTCTAAAAATGTTGTCAACAAATGAAATAAATACACCAAGGTCAACATTTATGTAAAAAAGTTATAATTAAAAAAAAGAAAATTTGACTACACTTACTTTGGAAACAAAAAAAGATTTTTCTAAAATTGAACAATCAGATATTTCCGTCCAAGCATTTTTCTATGTTTATAATTTGATAATTTTGTAATAACTATAAACTTATTATCAAGCTATGTTGTGAAAGAAAAGGTTTTATTTTTTTGAGTTTCGTTTCTAAACTTTTGTCTCTTTTTGTATTTGTTACCGTTTGTAACAGATACAAACAAAACTTTCGCTATTTTGATAAAAAAGTTTGTTCCTAAAACTTGAAAAACCATTTCACACGTCGAAGCATTTTTATCAAATTCGTTCCAAACATTAAGTATTAATTATGAAACTTAAAGTGAAACTTTGTTTACATTGCATTCAAAATTTCGAATCAAAAAAGTAAATAACTGACATTTTTTCCAAAAATGTTAGGATTAGTTATAACTGTGAATACAGGGACTGATCTATTAAGGACGATAAAGATGGGGATCTTTCTGATTTCTAGAATATAAACCTTCGGCTGAAATGTTTTCGATATGCCGAGGAAGCAATAAAAAACACGATCAGCTATAGATTTTTGAAGATTTGTCTTTCATGGAATTTTCGTCTTGCTAGATTATCGTCAATTTGAACGTTTGAGTTGAAAATGGCTGCCTTTGATCGTGTTTTTGCATTGGTTTCTCGTTATTAAAAAAAACAAATGTATTTCCAGTTTTTCTGAAAACAGTATTTTGAATATAATACAATTTTTTATATTTTTCAGTTAAAAACAAACCGCAAAATATCGCAATAAAATTATTACAAAATTAAGAAAGGTATTTTTATCTAGAAAGAAATAGTTTTATAATTTAAACAATTTTTAATTCGTATTTATTGACTGATTGAAACTAAGGGCACTTTTTGTAATGTAGGAAATATTTGGAACTTTTACAGATCCGACTGTAAAATTTTGGTTGTCCTCTTCTGAGGCTTTATAACTACCGTTTATTTTTGAAATACCGATGCGACGTTGCCACGTTATTCTAATTTTCTTGAAATTTATTAGTAATGGAAGAATTTACAAAAAAATCGCAGTAAAGTTATTTTTAACATCTATGTTACAATATTTTGAGAAGAAATAAATAAAGATACGCGCTTTGTTGTAGTATAACTGAAATAAAATTATCTTGTGCAGAATGTTAAAAATTTGTTAATTATTACAATTTTCAAATATCGATATTGCAGTCTCTCAAATATATATTTTTTATTACTGCATCTTATTCTATTTTTTGTGTTATCCTTCCACAAAATATTGTAAGAGATACTTTAAAAATAGCCCTATTCCGATTTTTTGTGAACCCTTTCATTGCCAAAAAATTTCAAGAAAATTGGAATAACGTGGCAACGTCGAATCGGAATTTCAAAAACAAGCTGTAATTATAAAACCTAGGAAGAGACTAATGGGATTATGTAAAATTATAAAGGGTGTTTCATTTAAAAAAACTAAGGTGTGTCTAACGCCTTAAAAACAGAAAACTCGGTATAGTTAAAAATAAGAATATAGTTCTCAAAGAACCATACAACTTTGGTCTATGACTTTTTTTAATAATTAATGAGATAAACTAGCTTTCAAGGTCACTTAATTTTTTCAAATGCGACTGCAGTTTCTAAATTAAAGATTTTTAAACCTTCTTTTCAGGTGAGTAATTGCTGGATTTAATGTAATTTTATTGCACGTCCGCATTCTAAAGTCAAAAATAGTTACCAAAAAATAAATTTGGACTATGCAAAATTTCAAATATTTAAAAACATGTGTACAAAAATATACACAGTATATTTCATTCTGTTAAAATTACTTTAAATTATTATTAGAATTGCGTGAAGCAAACTTAATGTTTTTTGAAAAAATTATTACATGAAAGTTATGTCACTTTACTTTTACATAAATGGGATATAAAAATGTCATCTGCATCTTTACCATGTACACGGATCATTTTTGAAGAAAAATAATCAGCTTCAATCATATTTCTAGTATTTCAGCAACTGCTGAAAAATAATCTATATTCGAATATTTTGTTTTGTATTGTGGGCATTTTTTTAAGCTCAAAATTGAGTTAATTTTACTTATAAAAGAAAAGTGGAACCTGAAATGCATCGGTCCATGTTGTCATCTAGATAAATTTCATTTTATAGATTCTCTGTTGTTGAATTTATTAGCATACAAGTAGTAGTTTTCAAATAATTTCAATAAAATAGAGATGAACACATCTATCAATCTCCATTTTTTTTGTAGAAAAAATGAACACAAACATAATTTGTAGTACATTCTAGGTTATTTTTTCCTAGATTATCATAAATTAAATAGAAGCAGAATGTTTTTTAGAAGGTAAATTTTAAATTCTGAGGAGTTAAAAAATTTTGAAACTTTTTTGATTTAACACATCATAAAAAGAAAACCAAGGTATTACAAAACATCGAGATATATGACAATTCACTATTCTGAATTCAAAATTTTTCTGTAACATATCGCTTGATTATATCTTATGTGATTCCAAGTGAAAAAAGTTAAAATGTCATTGTCGGCTATAATAATTACTAAGACTACACGCATCTGACATTCTGATTTTAAAAATTTACACGGTTGGCTACGTTTATGCCAAGAATGTACGTTGCCACAATTATAGCAAATTAAAACTACAACTACTGGCTCTAATAAGAAGTTGTTTTGTCTCATATTAGTCATATTCATGGAAACATCTTTAGTTTAAAACGATTTTTACATGTTTTCATAAAATTCAGTAGTCATTTGATCTATACTAACGCTAATAAGTACTTTAGCCAAAAAATTACAAAACTACTTTTTTGGTTCCACTTTAATAATTATGGTCCGCTGTAAGTCAAATAGGTACTTTTTCTTTAAACGGTAATAGTGGCAACATATAAGTATAATTCCACTTTACATATTACTGTCATGTTTTTGCAAAATATCAGTGGACAGTAATTATGCTGTCAGAATTCGAATCTAGTTAATAAATCTGTATACTACTACGAAAAAATCTAGTTTAAAACCTCATTCGCTTTTGAGCTGTTCGACCAGTCTATAATTATTCTGACAGATCAGGTACCGACTAACTTATAAGTCTCGATCTCAATCGAGTAAACGTTAGTTATTACTGCAACACAACCGTGGTGAAATTGTTCCCTTTTCAAAAGGAAGGCACCTGACTCCTGCTTTAATGACATAAATAAATTTGATTTTGTGGTGTAGGTGCGACAAAAACAGTGACAACAACGGCGCCACAAGATTGGCGTCTGTTCGATGTCCAGTAGGTTTAGCTTTTGACATTGAACGCCAAACTTGCGACTGGAAAACGAAAGTCAGCAACTGTGATGTTATAGAGAGTAAGTCGATGAAGAAGAAATAGTGACGTATACCTAGCCGGTTGTCCCCGAGAAACTTATTCAAATCAGTGCCACGTATCGTCAGTATTTCTTGGTCAAAACCTGATATTAAGCCCCCATTTTGACGTACAGGTGTACTAAGTCCGGTCTAAAGCAAATCACTTGTCCCAGCGGATTGGCATTTGACATCGATAAACAAACGTGTGACTGGAAAGGAAAAGTCAATAACTGTGATAAACTTGAGAGTAAGTCGCACTTTCGAGTGCGGTAAGGGAACGGTGTCTGTAGAAATTATGCGACCGCTGATTCGGCTTCAACGGGGCGACGAATTTGAAACGTTGTACAAAAAGTTACCAACTGTCCGGAAAAGAAACGTGTAGAAAGTAGATGGTGTTTTCTAACTTTAAGCTGGATTAATTCGTTTGTTGCATGCGCTTTTTGCTATGTACTAACAGGTGTGGGATGGTGGTGGTCTATACTATGTAAGACATACTAACTGTTACTGCATTTGTGGATAACACATCACTGTACACCTTACACAACACTTGTAGTTATTTTAAAGTCTTCAGTCTATCAGTATTTGTCTTGACTAGTACAGTTCATTCTAAAATCGTGTCATCATTATCCAACCAGATTCACTTTGTGTTTCTTTGTTCATTTCCTTCTTTTCTCTCTTGTATGTTCAGTCTTTATCTAAAAGTATTGTATTAAATTTTTACCTAAAATTTAAACTAAATGGTTATTTGCTTCGTTCAAAAACACCTTGTCGAAAAAGAAGATACGAAAGAAAAATTTTTTAAAATAATTGGAAAAGGTTAAAAACACGTAGTTACTCCATTTTCTGTTCTATTGGGGCACTAGAAAAAGGTGTGGAACTGGTGCTCCAAATAAAACAGAACGTATTTGTAACTTTTCTCAATTGAATAACCGTGTAATAAAAAACATCTGACTGAATGTTTAGAATTTGCAACGTATAACCGAGTATACGAGTAAATAAATCATTTAGTTTTTTCCTACTGTTTTCTACAACTTTTATCTTTCTCTTTATGTGTTGTATTTATTAATCATTTTTTCAGTTTCTTCGTCTACTTTCTATAAATGAAAGAGCGTACAAATAGAAAAAATAAGATGTACATATTTGCTAGTTAGATACAACTGCCAGTCACAAAGAACACACCCAATTATTACACTGTGTACATAGCGCACCTTCTAAGTTTTATTCAAACCAGGGTCATATTCACAAAATAGAACATTATCTTTCACGAGCCTTTTGTGGATATGGCTATAAATAATATCTGTTGTTTCACATTTTTAAAACTTTTGCGGTCTTACAAGGTTCTTCCTGGATCAAATTATATACGATTTCAAGTGAAGAGAAGTATAAAAAAACTTGTAAAAATTCACAAAAACTTGTTTGCGTAGAATTCTTTCCACTTTTTTTACAGTTACACATTTCCGTGTTGCTGAAAGTTATTCGTATGTTACTTCCGTATACCGGAAATGACATTCGCAGTCGAAGCAATGACATTCACTTTATTTTCTACAAGTGACAACCTTCACTGTTACGTAAAGAATTTAATCAATTCTCAAATTTGCTAAAAAATTGTTTGCGCGAAAAAACTGAAACGACAGAAATTATGGAACGCAAAACAACAGAACAGTATTAACTATTTTTCCATGAATTAGAACCACGCAAGGCGTTACCTAACTTCAAAACCGACGAACCGATTTGTCCCGACGGAAAATTGTCTTGTGGTAATGGTGAATGTATCGACAAAGAATTATTCTGCAACGGTAAACCGGACTGCAAGGACGAATCTGACGAAAATTCTTGCAGTAAGTGATTAATTATTTATCTGAATTTGCATTTCTACAATAATACGTCCTTCGCAGCTGTTGAAACTGATCCAAATCGAGCACCTGATTGCGACCAAACCCAATGCGTTTTGCCAGACTGCTTCTGTTCCGCTGACGGCACCAGAATTCCTGGACAACTGGAACCAGCCAACGTACCTCAGATGATCACCCTGACCTTTAACGGTGCCGTCAATATTGACAACATCGATTTATACGAGGAAATCTTCAGCGGTACCCGCAACAATCCCAACGGCTGTCAAATCAGGGGCACTTTCTTCGTTTCTCACAAATACACGAACTACTCCGCCGTCCAAGATTTGCATAGACGTGGTCACGAAATTGCCGTTTTCTCTCTAACCCACAAGGAAGACCCCAACTACTGGAGCCAAGGTTCCTACGACGACTGGTTAGCCGAAATGGCTGGAGCTCGTTTGATCGTCGAACGTTTCGCTAACATCACCGATGGTTCCATTATCGGAGTTCGTGCTCCGTACTTGAGAGTCGGAGGCAACAAACAATTCGAAATGATGGCCGATCAGTTCTTCGTCTATGACGCTTCCATTACTGCTTCTTTAGGTCGTGTCCCCATCTGGCCTTACACTTTGTACTTCAGAATGCCCCACAAATGCAACGGTAACGCCCATAACTGCCCCAGTCGTAGCCACCCAGTATGGGAAATGGTCATGAACGAGTTGGACAGACGTGACGATCCCACTTTCGACGAATCTTTGCCAGGTTGTCATATGGTCGACTCTTGCTCGAATATTCAAACCGGAGACCAATTTGCCCGTCTTCTCAGACACAACTTCAACCGCCACTTGAACAGCAACCGTGCTCCATTGGGTCTTCACTTCCATGCTTCCTGGTTGAAGAGCAAGAAAGAATTTAAAGAAGAACTCATTAAGTTCATCGAAGAGATGTTGTTGCGTAATGATGTTTACTTCGTAACTAATCTCCAAGTCATCCAGTGGATGCAGAATCCTACAGAATTGAACGGTTTACGTGATTTCCAAGAATGGAAAGAGAAGTGCGACATTAAGGGACAACCTTATTGCTCGTTGCCTAATTCATGTGCTCTCAATACTAGGGAGCTTCCCGGAGAAACGTTACGTCTCTTTACTTGCATGGAATGTCCTAATAACTACCCCTGGATCCTCGATCCCACAGGGGATGGTTTCTCAGTTAGGAAATAATTTATTTTATTATTAAATTTTAAGATTGAGTTTCTTTAACTTAAAAGACTTTGTATATAGCTATAATCAGTTTCCTATTACATCTTTTTAAATATGACTTGAATAGGTTTTAAATTTAAACAAATAGTTAATTAATAACTTGCCACAAGTTACTGTTTTATATTATACAATGTCAGTTGTGTTGTGAAGTGAAATTTTTGTTACAAAATAAAAATAAATAAAATTAATTTTACCACTAGAATAATATCAAAAACCAAAGGCAGAATAATATAGCAAGATTCTTTTGCCGTATGTACTGTTTAACGTAATGCAGATTTACTCCGCTTCTAACTGAATTTATCTACAAAAGTTTTGCTGGAGCAGTTTGATTATTACTTCGTAGGGGAGACAAATAAATAATATAAAATTCCCAGTTTTTATAAAAACTATATTTTGAAATTTACCTGTATTGTATAGGCAACGCATCACTTTATAAAGCTCGAACAATGTGTTTAATTGGGGAGGTAAGCAAAGAAGGAGTAATTGTAAAATATCACGGTTGCTAATAAACTTTTGCCACCATATTTTTGATAATGTAGATAATAGTGTGACTTCCACATATCCGTGAGTAGCCCTAGCAGAAAAAAAATATTTCAGTTAGAAGTTTTCGCAAGATTTGGGTTTCAACAGCAAATATTTTTTAGTAATGAATAAAAATAGCATTTAACAATAAGCTGTTTTTAAAATAGTGTAATTTATGTGTACAGAATAAAAGTAGATAGAAAAATGGAACAAAGTGTGAGATGCTGACAAGATTACGCTTTTAAGATTACCCATAAAGAGTAGTCTAAAATTCCCTTTCCTAAGTATGGTCAAACAAGTTTAGTTGTGGAGATCAATTAATTATAAAAGTTGATTCTGGAAATTTTATTTTCTATAATAACGTCTCCATGTTCAAATAAAAAGTAGTACGTCGTTTTCAAAATTTTGGGAAAGTTGGGTAAAGCCTCATCAACATGTAGATTTGTCGGGATTGACTTGCATTTATTAAGAAACAACACCATTATTTTAATTTCATTGATTTCCCTACTACTACGAGTACTTTTCATTTAATCAATAAAATTAATTCATTCAATCATAATTTATTCAATAACGAGTGTATGCAGTTTACTGAACATAAATGCATTACTAAAAGGCAAACATCTACAATTTTACCGTTGTTCTACAATCATTAAATACAAGTTAGTATTTTGTCAAAATTTCAAGAAAGTTTCTTTTGTAGATTCTAGGACAAACTACAATTATAAAATTTTATTCTCAAAAATATGAATATATCACTAAACCTCCAATAGAGAAACGTGGACACTATAAATTTTAAACCATACCTACACAATTGTAAGATCGCTCCATTAAGTTTTTGGAAAGAATGAAATTGTGATTAGCGATTTTTTCGCTACGTCCTACATCGCCACGTCCTGAAAAAAAATTCACACGTTGGCAACAAAAAGTGATACACCCTCAAGCTTACAACAAAGTTTGTAATACTCTACTACAATGAATTTTTAAGAAAACGCTAAATATCACAAAATAATAGTTATTACTTCACAAAAAAAAGAACAAAGAATATGTATTTTTTTATTCATTTAGAAAATTGTGAAATCAATTAGGAGTATTATTTTAAATGATTAACATAATATACAATATTCACTTTATTGGGGAATATACCTTAGTTACAAAACAACATTTAAATCAGAAATTTAAATTTGCCTAAGTTTATTTAGACAGGACTTTTCTCACGCCTGAAGCCTAATGCATGAATTATTTTAAGTCACCGTCTGTGAGCCATTCTGAACAAAGTGTCAACGGCGGCTCAAGGGGTTCAACAACTCGATTTTACATTGATACAAGTGCATTATTCTAAAAAACCCTGAACTCAGAACAACAGGAAGTGGACAATTTACGATTGGTAAATAACAAAAATAAAATAACAAAGGTATTTATGAAAAAATGTAACACAGTTAATTTTAAAAAAGGGCTTGAAAATGGTTCCCTATAAAGTTCACATGTACCTACTACCCAATTCTATTGCGAGACCTTCAACCTCGCATAAATTATTGTAACGGCAATCTGCTCAACAATTAATGAAGCTTTGTTTCCTCTTGTTAGTCATGTGAACTCGCAAAATATAAGGTGCTGTTCTACAGAAAAGTCACATGTATTTTTTGAGATGTCCCTCGATCCAACTAAATTTGGCCTTTGGGTAACTATGAAAACGTAAATGCACACTTCCGTGATTCCATGAATCAATGAAATTCTTACACCGATTTTGAAATAACTAGATGATGAAAAGCTACAACATGGATTCTTTCAACAGGACAATGCCACTGCTCATACAACAAATCAAGCGTTAAACTTTTTAAACGAATTTTACGATAACAGAATAATTAGTGGAAAAGTAAGTCTCCATCGACTTAATACGGCCCGATTTTTTCCTTTTTCAAATCTCCAAAACAATGTATACAAAAAATCGGACAAAAAACGTATAGAAATTGGAATTGGCTATTGTCAGATAATTGGAAATTGTTCCGCCTGAAATTACATCTGTGTCTGACAAAGTAAATGAAACACACGTAAACAGCAAATTTAAAATACTACACTGTCCGGTTAAATCTTTATTTATTTTTTTTCAACACTGCTATTAACGGGGTTTCTACTTTGCAGATACAAAACTTTTTGTGCGAGTGTTTGGAAAAATTAAATATTGTGATAGTCATTTAGTTAGGTAAACTGAATTTTCCTATCCAGAGCGGAAATAATATTTAAAAACCAAAAATTTTAAACCAGTTTAGTACAAATTTGATGTATTTTTAACTTATTGTTGGTGCCAATTAATTATTATTATTTTGATTATAAATGTTAACAGTAACTTTTTGGTAATTATTAAATAAAATACTAGGGCACAACTTAAAAGTTGGACTTGACTTCGAAGTACTAATTCCCTTTATTCCTTCTTCCTGGTCCAATAGCATGGGTGCTACTTGAAGTTTAGTTTACTTGTTACATTGGTTGCCTCCATCTCCTTTGTCTACTATAGATTCTTCTAAAACAGTGGCCTGTGTAACTGCAATGGCAATTAGAATATTCGACGATTTTTCGTGGTATAGCAATGCTTTTTCCAATAGATTGTCCATTTCTGTATCCAAGAAAAAATTGTAATCTTTCAATTGGCAAAGGAGGAATAGATGAATATTTTTTTAAATAATTCAACAAGATTTACATCTTAGATATTTCCACTAGCATTTGTAAATTCTCTTTGCACATTAGTTTTATATTTGGAATTTCAATCAGAATAAACGAGCTTATGATTAACATTTTCAAGTTGACGGAAACTAATTTCTTCCACCATTAATTTCAACAATTAACATGACCTGGAACAATAAAAAATTATAACATTTGTTTAATGTAACGATTCTCGTTTACCTTCGTCATCACCATCTTCTTTTAGATAATGTTCTATTTGTGATCTTTTGAAAACATTAAATTTCTCAGGCTAATTTCCTATTGACTTTCACTGAACCAAAGCTATTAAGCTTGCAGATCGTTTTATATACATTTCTTCACTGATAAGGTTGTTCTTAGCAATTATTAAGTATATTGTGAACTGTGTGTTTGCTGTTCCACATTTGAATTGCAATTCGGTGAGATTGTTCCAATTATTTTGTTGTTGAACGATATCGAAAATTTGCAAATATATCCGTGCACTGTTTCCTTGATTTTTACCGGAATTAGTTTACCGGTTCCTGTGATATTTGAGTTTTTCTGTTTCGCAATAGCGCTGTCGATGCGAATGTTCTTTATCTGCATTCGCATTGTTTATGTGCTAAACGATAAGGTCGATTTGATTGTCGTGGCGAGTTATTGCGGCGTTGAGCTGCTTCGCCTCGGATTTTAAGCCCATCCAACACGATGGCGGATTCGCCGCCTAATTTTCCAAAGCGATAGTTTTTAACGCTGTACATGATCTTGTTCTAATGGATTATGTAGCAGCAATAGGTGATATTGTTGCACCTAAAAATGTTCTATTTGCTTCTAGAATTTCAAAAGGTCGGGTCTGCATTTATCTTAGTTCAAAAACTCTGGTAGATGATGTAGTGAACAGGTTTTCCAGTATTTTCATTAATGGTATAGAAGTTAGTCTCCGTCGGTTGTTAACTCCTTCGCGACGAATTATTCTATCAAACGTTTGTCCTTCGATCCCTCATGATGTTTTCGTTGACAAGATTAAAGCTCTTGGTTTTACAACGTTATCTCCAATGTCTTTTTTTAGAGCCGGCATCCAAAGCGATCAATATGCTCACGTCATGAGTTTTCGGCGAAAAATCCATGTTCAACCAGATGACAAAATAAATCTTCCAGAATCAATGGTCTTGAAATATGAAAATAGCAACTATCGCATATTTTTGTCGTTTGATGACATTTGTTTTAAATGTAAAATGACTGGACACTTCTCGTAGTCCAGAGGCTGAGGCGAATGCGCAAGATGTTTCTGGAAAAAGGCATATAGACGATGATGACTCTTCTTCGGACATTTCTCCTCTGGATCTTACTAGAGGTACTCCTAGTGATGATGTTCGTAGACCAAAAAAAATTAGACCTAGCAACTCTTGTGAAAGTCTAACTCCTACTTCTGAACTACTTGCCCCAGCTAAAAATTTAATTGATAACACGGATCAGTACCCATTGAGCTTTGACAAAGTCGTAGAGTTCATGGACAAAGCAGTAGGTGATGATGACATTTTAAAACTAACGCGTTCATATACAAAAGATGTTAATGGGGTGCTCACTTTATTGTACGACGTTTATCCTATCATTGATAAAAAAAGCATTAAAAATAAGTGTAAGAAGGTACAGAGAAAAATTAAAAAAGCAATGACAAAAGAGGAAAATGCGGACGATCTGGTTCCCGATTTGTCAGCTTTGCAAGACGAATCGGTTGGTTTTGACAAATAAACGCACTTATAAATAGGATCAAAGCTTTTTTCTTTTTCTGTCTTTTCATCTTTATCTCTTTTTCTTTTTCTCTACATGCCCAATTTTAATCCTCTCACGGATAATAAATCTTTATCCGATTACTTTGTCAGCACTATTGCCTACACTAATGTGGCATCTTTGATAGGAAAGTTTGACGATCTTTGTGCTTTTGTTCACGGTTACGTCCCTTGCTGGCAACACTGGTGGTATTGATTCTCTCTT